CCACTGATTCAATATAACCTTTACTTCAGGACTGTCAGACTTTGATGGGATTTATAATTTAGTAATTGATATATATATCTGTGATCTACAGATTCAACACATTTCCGGTGTAATAGATGTTGAGGGTAGACATTAAAATCATGTCCACTAAAAATGAAAGTGCCATTGAACAAGTAAACAACAAGCAAATCAAGAATAATAAAATCTTACTCAGAGAGTAATTATAGATTATGCTTTTAAACGTGAACTGTTAAAAATTTATTGATGAGGTGTATATCTTTCTGTGATACATAATCCAAACTATTTAAATCCTATTTATATCGCATGTAGTAAAAATGGTTAATACCAGAAATTGTTGTTGATTAACGTGTAAAACACTTAACCTTTGGCAAATCAGACACTCTTATATTTATTTATTTTTAGAGTATGATACATTGACAGCATAATATAGCATGTGGTATACGAAAGGGTTTTTCAGTTACTTTTTTTAAACATGGACCATTTGTCTTTTTTGCTCCATTGTATTATGTCTAATGGCGCTGAATCACATCGTTATGTAAATGTGTCTGACAGACTCAGGGGAGCAGCTTCCTTCAATCCAGGAAAATGCCGTTTAGATACGTAGTCCATCACTACAAAAGAAGACGTTTTGGTCTACTAAAAACCTAGGATTTTCTTATGATGCTATACCGAAGATAAATAAAAGACATTTCCGTAGCGTAGGAGGGGATTTGCATTTTATGTGGCTATCATACTCAATGAATCTAAATCAATCAATCTAAAAGCTCCTTAGAGCCATGACTGCATTTTTATAGTGCAAGTTTTACTTAACCTCTGCTGTAACATCCATTGTATACATAATGTTATTTAAAACTCTATATGAATAGGGCCCTTTGGCTGAGACCTTAAAATCCGAGGCCCCGTGTCACGGCAGGTGTTTGGCACGATAAAGATCCTTCACTGCTCAATGGCCCTGAGTGCCGAGTAAAGGTCTAAATTTGAAGCCCTTCATTGGTATATGTGACATCTCTATATGAGTGAAAAATTCTCGAATGGGAGTAAAACATTATACAATCAATCAATCAATCAATCAATATAAACATGTCCAATTTTCAAATGTATTAAGCTTGTGAATCCAACCGATTGTTGAGGAATATGGTTGATAATCAGATAAACAGCAGAAACAAGACAAAGCAGGAACAGCGGTATGTAGTAGTAGTAGATTGGTCTCCGGAAATTATACAGACTGTGCACCAGAGTGGATAAGATTCTATGTCCTATGAAGAAATTCTATCCTTTTCGCAAAACACAGAAGAAATAATGAAATATCTTCTGTCAATTTGTGATTTTCCATGCAATTGCTGAAATAAGTGGTGGTTTTCGAAAACACGAAATGGGTTTTCATATATTGTCTGAAAACCAGAAATTAATAAATCTAAATTGATTATCATATTTTGTCAGTCTGGAATGAAAGCCAAAAATTAATGAATCGAAAATGTCAGAGTTCTGTCTTTTTTTCAGCTGGAAGCGACATAAAGACAATATTTCTAAAATCAAGCGATAAGCCAGTATGACAATGATTAATAGCGATAAATGGCTAACTTTTCTGCAATATTCTTTTGTCGCTCCCATTAAGTGACAAATTATTTGAAATTGTTTTCAGTAGAATATATTTCCCTAAATATTTATAGTCTTTTCTAGCTTTTATGGATCTCCTTCATAAGATAATTCTTTCAGAGATTTATATTGTGTTTTTTGATTTACTAAAATAATTCGAGTTAACAATGTTCAAACTCTCAACCTTTATAGTTTTATATTCTGAATATAATGTCAGCTCCATTGCAATTTTCTAATGTTTTTTTTTAAACATGATGGTATGCAAGGGAGGACACATTTAATCTTGCTATATTCTAATGAATTTTGAATTGTATATCTTAATAAAAAGGTGCCTGGCAATAAGTTTTTTTTATTGGTATTGACACTCTTAAACTCTTTTATAGAATCTGAAGATCTTGATTGTAATTTTTTTTTTGATTTTCCTATATCAGTTCCTTAGATCATTTATTAATATTTTTCGGCACGTCAAGCAAAATTTGTTATATTGACAAGTTCTCTGTACTGCTGTTCATTACCCTACCCCATGATACTTCAAAAAGTGTCATTTAATTTCCTTTGAAAAAAAAATTGATAAGATCTTTAAGTTGATTCTGACTTGTTCATATATATATTCAAAGGCGAATAGAAAAAATAGTAGCGCTTTATCTACTGATTATCTTCATCTGTCACAAATACCAAAAGTACAAGGTTTTTCTCTTTCCAATTTTCAAACTTTTTTAGGCATGAAAAAAGTTTAAGTGGAACTTTGACATTCAAGTTAATTATCCAAAAGATAAAAAATGATCTGTTATGAATATACTTTTCTCTTGTTTTGAAGTTCAATTAGACATTTTTGTTGTCTCCCTCCTTCCTCGATGATGAAATGTTCTTAAAGCAATATAAAACATGACAAATTCAGCAAATCATATATTATAATAATTAAATGTATTTTAAAACACGGGTTAAAGTTATTGACTTAAAAAATAATTTGTATTAAAATTTCAATATCTTGTTGCTAGTGAACTTGAGCTTTCAGATGTGACGTTGAGTAGGGACTATAACACACTATAAAAATAAAAGCAACAATAGCACACTCAAGTTTGAATTTCATCCAATAAAGAGTTGTCAATTATGGGCCGGTCACAATTTTAATATCTCATCTGGTTGCTGCAACTCTGAACTTTGAGATTGACTCAGTAAAGATCATGAAACACTTAAACGTCATGAATTGATTCCAACCAAGGATTCGAGAACACGACTTCGTGACGGACAGAATGCAGTTAAACAAACACAAACACAGCAAAACCATTTTGTCTTCTCCTTTTTAGATCTTCAGTAAGATATTTTAACCCACCCCTACCCCCTTTATCACAAAAATGGCTGTTTCACTGAAGTCTAGTACAAAAGAACGTTTTTCTCCTAAATCTGCAGAGTTGAACTTTGTGAAATATGAGGCCATGATATCTTATTTTGTGTTAGCATCAACTGGCACCCTAAATTGAATTCAAATGCTCATAGTAAAAAAAACCGTTGATAGAATAATTTCTTTCAGTTAAAGAATCTTATTTTTATCCTTGACCGTACCGTTTTAGAATCAATATATTATGAGGGCTTTAAAGAAGCATTCCCATTTACCATCAATACAGAACTTATCTTAAAAGATCGTTTTCAGTTTTAGTTTTAGCAATAAAGTGTTTTTCACTATTCATGTATTATAAATAAATTACTTAAAAAAATAAACAATTGAAATACTAAATGCGGCTAACTTCTTAGTAACAGTACCCGCGTCGTTCTTCTTTACAATTCTATCGTGTTCTATCTTGCGTTTATCCTATCGTGTCGTGCGCGTGTATCGTTCCATATCGTGTATCCTGTAAGGAATAAAGATGCAGGTACAATATATATATATATATATATATATATATATATATATATATATATATATATATATATATATATATATATATATATATATATATATATATATATATATATATATATATATATATATAGTTAAAAGGATATGTAATAGATTGAAAGTGAAATGGACAATACTAAGATTTATATTGTTTTCCTTGTTTTAGCTTGATTTACTTGTTTGCTTTCTATAATATTTTTGTATCTAACATCATCACCAATATGTATCCTTGCAGATTTGAATTTTTTTGAAAAAGATAACACAGAATTCTGCTTAAACGATATCTTGAAAAAAAATAGCTGCTATCCTTTATCCTAGAAAACATTCTATCTTACCTCCCTATGTAATATGAATTTCAAATTATGCACTAGTTAAACATTAATAAACAAAAGTATGAATGCATAACAGCATCCTTTGGAGATTTTTCTTTCTATTTATGCCGTCGATTTAAATCTTCTAGGAAATAGAGCTGGCATACTGACTTGGTAAGATTAGACCATTCTTGAATTTTTATACGCATGAAATGAGAAAAGGATATTGACATGCTATTACGTATGCAAACCTAATAGAAAGTCTTTTTTGGACAAATTTTCTTTCTAATGGATGAACAAAATGGTATATCCCTCCACAAAATGGATTGGTTTTAAATCATAACTTTTTACTATAATTTAAAATGTAAATAATTTCTAGATTTTTTATTCTAATAAAAATTCAAGTCTAACTAAATCGATAAGATAACAAATATTCTTCAAAGGATGATGTAAAAAGGACTTATACAGGTATTAATACCTGCGTAAGAATTAAGCAGATCTAATGAGCATACGTGCACATATATAGTTTTCCATAGAGGTAGCAGTGTAAAACAGAAAAGAACGTAAGTTGTTTTTAAAGGCTAATGACCTTTAAAAGATAAGATAATAATAAAATCATAGATTATCAACATTGTTATCTAGAAATCCTGTGACAAAGTTCTGTAAAGAAAATCGAATCTAAATCTTTATTTTTAATAGGTATATCAACTATATTTTATTCAGTATTAATTAATCACAAAAACATTTTCAATTGCTCAACTTCTTGATCGTTAGAGAGTAGATTACTTTAATGTTATGAATTGATAAAATAATTTCTGCTTTTTCCCCAATTAAGTATTGGAAGAATACACACCAAAAATAACAGAAAAGGATATTGGAGTAATTTTCTTTTATAGAAGTAGCAAAATCAATATAAAATTGAAAGACTATTTCCATGAGGGGAGTATAAGCGGTAGACATGACCAATTACGGGAGAAAAGATAAACAAATCGTAAAAATCGAATGTTTTTTCTCTTTAATCATGAATCTGTTTATTGATATGAAGGCATGCAAGGGCCACATAGCCAGAAAATCATTTCTAATAGGGCATTACACGGGAGAGTGTTGTCAATCGAAATCCAATACGTCATTTCCCTCTGCGCATGCGCCAGCGTGTAGGAGTTTCATCAAATCGATATTGGTTTTTTTCTCCAGCTACCTTTGTTTCTTGTCAATCCTCAGAACAACATCGGATATCGCTGAAGAGACAAATAAGATCACATTCGTCTACAGGTATGTATTGAATATTAATTTGGTATCTGTAACAAAGGATAGCTTTGGAATGTTGTCTTAATAATGTGTTTTTGGCAACGTTACTCTAAAGATTTTGATATTATTCTTTGATTCTTACGTACGTACAATTATCGGTTAATCTGTGATCGTATCCCTACGTCTCATGAATAAATCAAATCAAACAGAATTTAGAAAGTCAATTAATTTACATTAGAGCAATATTCTGTTATGTTGTAGATCAGAGATATTGTATTGAGTTTTTTGAGATTATTCAGATAGATAATCTAATAATAGTATTCTTTTTTTCATCAGTAGAGAATAAATGATCTTGTAAAATCATTTAATACTATGTTCCTTTTCTTAATTTTTTTTAGTTTAATGGCCTGATTACATAGAGTTCTTTACATATTTTTTTTTTTTTTACACAATTATATATATTTGAAATTTTTTTTTCTCTCAAAATAAGTATTGTCTTTAAATGAAAAAATTAAGAGATTTTTTTTGAAACAAATTTTCAAAAAAAACATTTTTGTGAAAGATCTACATATAAAAAGGTAAGTAATCTTTGGTGGAGACTCGGGATTTTTTATTCGCACTCAATCGGATTCTATATATCACTTTGGTTTCATCTAATCCTCTATTTATTATTACACATGTACATGGCTAAGTAATACGATGTAATTCAGTTACAACTCATATTACTGACATATAATCAGATAGTAATTGTATTTCACTTAACTCTATATACATGTATATTTAATTTCAAACTTTATCGTCGGAGTTTTTTCAAATCATTTACACAAAACACAGGTAGCAACAGAGAATGACATTGTTTTTGTATAAGAAGTTTCGAATCTCATTCGATGCCGTTTTCATTAGACATATTTATAGTTAGAGAATTGAAAGCTAGATCAATAAAGGATATCCCAACATAACTGGAATAATTAGAAGATGATATGAATTCAGAGGACTCTAGCATAAAAAAATAAATATATCCACATTAAGTTTAATTTATTTGAGTAAGTGGATACTTAGCTTTCTCACTGGATGTGCATGCGTCATTAGTTAGTACATACTGATAGCCTCAGACCCTATTGAAAAATATCGTGAATGAGTTTTTATATGTAAACTGAAGTAAACATAAAATTGTTGCTGTAAAAACAGCCAAAACCCAACTTCACTAATAAAAATTGCTGGTAATAATCACTTGTCCATCCTATCATTTTACAATTATGCGTTTTCCCCCTGGCTCCTTGTAGCAATGAATTTATCGATGGAATCAACATCCTGTTTTCGATTAATAACCATATTTTCTTGTACTAGTATTATTTGTATATTTTATTTAGTCCATCGTCAGATTTGTGAGCGCCAAAAAAAGATAACTAAATTTCTAAAAAATAACTAATAGAAAATAATCGTTATGAAGAAAATAGTCTAAATAGAATACTTAGTAGTCTGTTTTAACACTAGTTATTTGTATAATTTTATGTCTATGATGTATGATACATCAGCAACCTAATCAAAGTTAGACCTATTGTCTGCTAACATTTTTCACAAATATGGCATAGCTGCTCAAAAAATGATTGAATATCGCCACCAAATTTTATATATTTCTATTTATATTCTATTATTTTTTATATATTTATAGTTTATGAACTCAATGCATAAATTCAGTAATAATAATCAGATAAGAAAATGCAAGAGAAAACAAGTTATATTAATTATTTTCCTTAGTTTAGATTCTACACTGCTCTAGGAAATTAGCAACCAAAGACATTGAAGGTGTGTGTTATACCTAGCGTGAAAGAGCAAATGTGTGGCTTAGGAGAAGGACCGAATCGAGCGTTTTCTGAATTCCAATACCATGCACAGACATAATGTTTTTTAATCAGGGAAACCCTGTGTATATAATGCAATCAGTTTTCTTGATTATTGACATACAAATAAAATGAACAGAAACCATGTATCTGGGCTATTGGAAAGAGGCTCGACTGCAACTGATAACTAAAACGTCTTATAATGAAGAGCGATGGGTTAAGTTAAGGAATAAAGTATGGTAACGGTAGAATTTGGCCCTTTATTTAATATAAAAATCAAAACACAGTAAAAATTGTTATATTTTGCAGTTAAGAACTTAAAAGGATGCTTGTTTTAAAATCAGCACTAGTTATGATTCAAAGCGTACATAAGAGGATGCAAAAGTAGGATATTTTACCGAATTTCCTCAATTTTTATGGAATTACCTCAATTTTGAGAATTTCACAATTTTTCTCTTCGGGAAACATAGAGCACAAACTTGCCTATCTCAGGGTTTTTTTTTTTTTTTTATATAAATAAATATGCATATGATACTTGTGCAAGAAATTTATAAATTCAGTAGATAGGCAAGTTTATGCTTCGTATATCTTCTGAAACAAAATGTGCTTAAAATTGATGAAAATTTGCGTAAAATGAGAAAATTCGGAAATTGTCACATTCTGTGACCTTCCTGTGACTTTTGAGTACTCCTTAAACAAGATCAATACTTATTGTGTAACAGGAATGACAACAGGTTTTTAATGATGAACTCTGGCATCTTTTTAAGATACACCCTTAACCAGGGGCCAAAAAAGGGTCTTACCCTATCTTGTCCTTTTGATAACAGAGAAGCTCATATCGATAAGACATTCCAATACGGGTCATTTCAATTTAATAGGTGATAAAACCACGTTCTTTCTGAATCGTGTTTTATTAAGAAATAGTTTTCTTGTTTTGTCCAGAAAGTTTGACAACATTTCAAAATTTAATTTTCGGCATATCATATGTTACAATTTCAGACAGGAAATCTATTCTACATATCCAAATACATCAGAAAATAATAATTACACCGTATCTTCCATCTTCTGGTGCGCAATATGCAAAGAGGCTTTTTATTGAACCTAAATTACAGGCTGTCAATGTATCGTATTCCTTCTAATTTTAGTCACGCCATCCAACTTGTACTGTTTGATATATATACTCTAAGTACTAGTTAAAGCTGAGAAACGTGGTTTAGTCACGTAATTCGGGTGATCTTTACTGCAGCAATTTAAACATAAAATTGGATTTCAGAAGATCAAACTGTCACCGTGATCCAGGAATAAATTTAATTTACAGTCAAGTAATTCATTCCAAACACGCATGATGCATATGTAAAGCAGCTTTGAAAAAATAAATGAATGTCCATATTCGCAGAGGGGAACATGGCGTGAAGTTCAAATGGCTTAAAATAGCTTATCCACTTTATGTAGTAGTCTGCAGAAAAAGTTTGCAGAGGCATGTCTCACTATAAACAATAAACGTCAGTATTCTATTTTAGGGTTTATGTTAAAACTTAAATAGAACTGGTGATGAAAAATGTAACAAGTGTTATAAATTTACCCTTTGGTTTCATTTAAATCTTTATCGATAAAACTTTGAATAATACATATGTAAACTTAAATTAAACATCCTTACGAATTTCATATCAGCATAAATTTCGTAATATACGTACACTACTGAATTCATTTGTAAGTCTTCAATTGTGCATTTCAAAAAGAAACAAGTGTTTCTTATATATATATATATATATATATATATATATATATATATATATATATATATATATATATATATATATATATATATATATATATATAAAGGAAACATATGTATGGCTAAAAAGGTTAACATAAGCTTATTCAATTGCCTTATGTTCACATCCTATGACTATTTCTTATATGATGACTATATTTCTGATCATGGTCAGTTCGACCTTCTACCGTTTCTCAATAACAAATATATGAACCAGACACGAATTTTATATTTCATTTTTATTTTTTACATTGAACTTGTCCAAATGACCAAGGTTGGTGACTTTTCCACCCCATGCCTCCATTAATTCTATTCACCCAAGAAACGTCATATTCTCTGAGGACAACGCCCGAGGGGAATACGATTTTTCTTGGGTGAATTGATCTTCATATCTCACAAACAATAAATTGTTTATTATACCTAAACAATTCAAGGGTACAATATCAACCTGCAACATATAACAAGAAATAAAAATATAAAATTCATATGAATACAATAATTCTTCTTTATCATCACAGAAATTAATTATCAAGAGAAATACTTAGTATCATAGATATCATGATAACAGAAAAGGTAGGGAAATTATGAAAGTTTTATTTTCCGTCACGCGACTGTCTAGAATCATATAACGCATTTTATAGAATTATTATAATAAGGTATAATAATATTGTTTGTTTGTTTGCCTATCTCTCCGTCTTCAACTAAATTTGGCTCATTACGATTGAAGTGCACAACGTGGAATTTTCACACTTAGCAAAGTATTGTTTAGGCTAGTGGATATGTCGAGACCTTAGTTTAAGAACATTTAGATAAAATCGAGTTCTCATAAATTAGAAAATTTTATGTACAATTCTTGCTCAGTTGATATCTTTGTATAAGAAAAAAATTAGATGTACATAATTACAAAAATGTAGATTTTGATCAGATAATTTTACCTGATCAAGAACATTGTCATCTGGATATGGACAAGGTCAAACTTCTCTAGATCGCCACTTATAAGTACGCCATTCAATGATTATTTGCAAACACGTCCAGTTTTAGCATATGTCAATGCCTTACTTGTAATTTTTCCAATAATGAATAAACAGCGGGGGTGCAGTTTTTCCAGCTGTTTTGAGTGAGTGCCTGGCTATCTCTGACAGAATGCTAATCAAAATACCATCAAATCTGGCAGAGAATAAGATTCCGTTACTTGTTCTCCTGCTGACAATCTAGAACTATTATTCCTATTTAATAACTTTCAGACTTCCAACACGTTTCCCACATACATTTCATCATTTTTACAGGTTTTACGATTTAGTTGTTAGTTGGGCTTTATCGTCTATAGTCAGTAAAACATATTAAAAAGATGTGGCAGAATCTGAGGTGTCTTTAATTTCAAGTTCACTTGGATATATAGAAAAAAAACAGCACCATATAGAAGACATACAAACTATAGACCTACGCTATGGACTTACAATGGTGCAGAGAGGGTTCTTTATCATGCATAAGGTACTGCGACAAAGGTTTCATGAGCTTTTACAAAATCCTTTCTGAAATCCCAGGGCTTTTACGTCTTAATTCGTGTATTTGGTCATTAAACAGTCGCTACTTAAATTAAATTCTGACCTGGCCGTGGATCGAACCCGTAAGCTTTTGCTTACAAGAGGTGAACGTTCTAGCAGTTGACTCGCCATGTGGACTGCTACCTGACATATTGGTTACGAGCGCGATCTCACTGAAAAACCAATAGATTTTCCATTGTTATGTTGGTGATTTTACCTTTCCTTGTTTATCCTAAGCAATAAACCAGTACTAAGCTGTCAAATATCCATCCATAAATCGCATTTTAGTTCTTTAAGACGCTTTCATAGTGATATAACAACGATGATGACAAAGTGCAATAAACGGTTCCACAGATTAAGGATTCATATAGACTGAATGACAGAGGAGTTTTGTCACCACAGCTATCGGACAGAATCATACCACAAACAAAGTATTCATCTATAAACATATTCAAACTGGATAATTATAATACATACACAAGTATTTTCTGTATACTAGAGTAAATGTGGAATCTTTATCCAGTAAGATGGAATTTGTGGAAAATATGACTAAAAAGGATCTTTAAAAGTACCATTAGACGCCACATTTTTATGTTTTATAATTTCCGCTGTATTCCTTGAAAAAAGGAATCATCCTACAAAGAAATGTCAATGATTTCACAGATTGAAAAGTTGTGTAGAAAATGCTTAGTCAGCATTTTCATCTTTTTGTTTGTTGGCAACTTTTAATCAAAGCTTTTTCACAGTAAACGCGTGGTAAGCTAACAAAAAACACATAACAATCCCTTCCTCCTGCTAGTTACGTCGTTGAGTCGTCGCCCGCGTGGCGCAGTGGTTAGAGCGTTCGCTCTAGAGTGGCGGAGTAAGGAGTTGATCCTTACGTCGCGGATTCGATTCCCACTGTGGGACGTGGAGACCGGTCCTTCGGATGAGACCGTTTAAACCGAGGTCCCGTGTCGCAGTAGGTGCTGGCAGGAAAAAGTTCCCTCACTGCTCAATGGCCGTAAGTGCCGAGTATAGGACAAAATTTGCAGCTCTCCACCAGCAAGTGGTGGCGTCTCAATATGAGTGAAAAATTCTCGAGAGGGACGTTAAACAAACAAACAAACAAACAAACGCCGTTGAGTGTGTTTCATATACATTTAATTGCAATTACTTCAGTAAGATTAAAAATCATATCAATTTTCTGCAAATCATTTTTTATCTTCAGTGTGATAAACACTTGCTACGTGTTAATTAGAAGTTGATTCCGTATTTACAGCTGATGTAATGAGTGATGTATCTCTTAATTGGATTGCGTCGTATGAATTCTTATATCCAAGGGTAAAAGGCGTCATCTAGGCTTCTTGTAATAAAAAATGACCAGTGTAAGACTCCCCATTACATAATATGTCTTCCTTGAAAAATATGCTAACTGTTAAAACGTTTGTCCATGGAGCAAAACAAACATGACAGTAAATACCTGATTTTATGTGTCCGATTCGTTTTGCAGATATTTGAAGGCGGTGCCCATCACGTAACAGGATGACGCTGTTTCCGGCACTGTTGCTGTTTGTAGGAGTAGCGTTTTGTAGTGCAGCCCCCACAGACATCGAGAAGCGATCTACAATGGGTATGTTTTATCATCATAATGCACCGTATAGAAATAATGGACTCAATACATAAGGAATCGGTATCTAAACTGCAATATATTTTTTAAAATCAATATAATGTAAGGCATGCCATATTTATTTATGAAAGCAACATTTTATCTAAAATCTTCGGCTGTATACAAATCACTATACAAAAAGACTAAAGGACATAAATTCATATTTATAAATTGCCAATTTAGGCAATTGTAATGGTAAGAAATCAAGGACTTGATGATGATTCAGTTCGCATACATATATCATAGCATTATTTATACTGTCTGTTAGTAAGGAATTGAATATAATTAACGTTCAATAGTAAAACGAGCCCAAGAAGTGATGATGTTTGGAAATCAACAAAATAAGCCAAGAATAAAGAAAAGTGACCCGGATGTTCCAGCTCTTCCAGATCTCAAAGGAAGTGTGATTGCCAATAAAGCCAAAGACATCGTTAAAACGAAAACCGCAGAACTACCAAAAGCTATTGAAGAAGAACTACAGGACGTCAGCGATGACGTCACAGCACCCAAAGACACAGAAGAGGAACAGTCCGAATCCAACGAACCAACCACGGATGAATTACTTGAGGATTTTCCACCAGAGACAGTGGAAGCTCTGAAAGAACTTGAAAATACTAAAGATGAGAAGAATTCTGAGGAGGAGGATAATACTGCCTCAGAAGATAAATCAGAGGAGGACGATAAAACACCCGAGGATAATTCAGTACCTCAAATGAGTGGGGAGGGGGATATGATAGAGATGTTGCCTGAAGATTGGTACAGTAAGTATAACGGCATGAGATGGATATGACATATAAAAATTTGTTTTAAATTCTTATCAATATATTACAACTGCCTTTGCCTATACAAGCACTATTTTCATCTGCAATTACACTCTAAATAACCATAAACACGTTATTATTTTATCCCAGAGGGGTTTTATCCTATTTTTGTTACATCAGAATCAATTATTAATATTTTTATTCCATTCACACAGACAATCCAGTTTTAGCATACCAGTTGTATAGAGCCTATAAAAAGCTTCCAGCCTACGGATACTCATACTACCGAAGGCGCCGACGATCACCCTTAAAAGCTCGCTTGTTAACCAATGGAATGAAACGCTCCCATCGGGCCAAACGTGACCTTCCGTACACAGAAGAAGAGTATCCTATGACATACTACCAAACAAAGTTTGGTCCTTCTTACACACTGGACGATCTGGAATCATATGCAAGAGAAAAGGAATACGAAGACAATGTTTTGAGATCCATTCTCAACAGTGTCACTCTTGAAGACGTTCAGGAAATTGAACACCAGGGTGTAACGGGTTTATTTATCCCCCTGGAAGACGAAGAACCTGTGATGTCCACAAGCAAAAGAAGTCCGTATTTCTTTCCATACTCCCAGGAGCCGGAGTCTCATTTTGGTGCTTTCGTTCCAGAGAAAAGAGATTACCTTGATTCGTATAGTAGACTTGTACAGTTAGCAAGAGAGCTGTCCAAATCAGAATCACCAAACCAGGGATATCAGGTATACAATCAAGATCATCAATTGTAAAATACATGGTTGTTTAACGGTTAACATATCAGGGCTCTAATTGGCGACTAATTTAGTCGCCATGGCGCCTAAAATTTTTGATTGGCGCCTAAAATTTTTCCATAAGTTGCCAAATTGGCGACCATTTGAAATTGACTTGGCGATCGTCGAATTCCGGAAATCGTCACATTTTTAACATTTTTTCTGAAAAAGCGAAAAGAAATTTAAAAGAAGAGGAAATTATTTTTAGCAATGAACATGACATGTTTTCTTAGGCACGTCATGGGTCCCTATATTTTATTAACTTTTAAAGTTGACGCCTTAGAAAAATTGCCTGGCGACTGAAAAATCTGCATTGGCGACTAAATTTTTTGATAAGGCGCCAACTGGCGCCTAAATTTTAGAGGCCACTTAGAGGCCTGCATATGCAATACAACAGAGATATCATATACATAATCAAGATTTTCAATTGTAATTAACATGGTTCTCTAACGGTTAACGTATGTAATATAACAATCAATTATACAATCAAGATTATCAATTGTAAAACACATAGTTATATGATAGTTAACTTTATGCAATACAATCATGATTATCCAGTGTAAAATATATGGTTGTATAACAGTTATGATAATTATACAATACAACAGAGATATCAGACATACAATCAAGATTATCAAATGTAAAACACATGGTTATTTAACGGTTAACATTATGTAATATTATACTTCCATGTAGATTAGTTGAATCTGATTCGTCGAGAAACATTTGTTAAAAAACACTATTACCCGCTGAATGATGAAGCCACGCCCTCCAGCGTAGCAACAGTCAACAATGCTTGACGACGGGTGATATTCCAAAAAATAGCGACTGCGCAGAATTTATGGGCGCACCGTTCACTGTTATATGTATTTATATAAAACATTCAGTATAATATAATAAATATTGCATGTAGTTGAGTGTAACATTGAAAAATTTCACCCCTCGAAAATCATTGACAATGGTTTTCTTTGGGTGAAATTTTTCAATGTTACACTCAACTACATGCAATATTTATATAATACAACAGAAATATCATATATACAATCATGATTATCCAGTGTAACATACGTGGTTGTATAACAGTTAATATATACAATACAACAGAGATATCAGACATATACCGGTAATCAAGATTATCAAACATAAATCACATGGTTATGAAAATGTTAAGAAATGCAATATAACGTAACAGAGATATCAAGTATACAATCAAAATTAGCAAATGGAAAATCATATAACATTGCAACACAATTTTAGAGAATAACTGCAAAACACTCGTGCAATAAAAAAAAATTAGCCCCACAGTATGAGACTATTACAAAAGCATGATTTTATTACTGTTAACAGATAAAATGCAATATGATTTCATAAGTAAGTGTTCGCAGTACGAGTATTTAATATGCAGCTGAATATTGATAGTTAGGCTCAGCAGGAATAATTTGTTTCTGAAAATAAGTCGTACATCAGTTGAATGTTTATTAGTTTCTTGAACAACGTGATCTTATAAAAATTATTGGACGTCTCCTGCTTTGGAATTTGGCTTGAAAAGAGTTTTTTGATATGTAGGAATCTAAGAAGATTCAGTTAACAGTGAAACTGGATAAAAAAAAAATTATTTTACATAGATTCTTTTTGAATTTCCTATATTAAAAAAACTTTATTAGTCTTTGTCTTTTATTCAACCTTAATGAAGATTTTTTTTCTTATTTTTCTCTTTCCACTATTTCTTTTCTTATTGTTTCAAATAGGAAGAAAATTTCCTAGAAATCTTCAGAAATTTGATTGGAAAATGGTAATATCTTATAAAAGAATTTTTGAATCGAATTTCCATGACAATGAATTCACAATGAATACTCATTAATATTTCATGATTTAATACGACAAGTTCCCTTGAAATTTAGGATTTCTTTGAATACAGTAACGGTCAATGGTCTTTTGTTATCGTCATGTGAGTGATTTACTCAGTGTTAAATATACATTAAGGCTTTTTAATCTGACTGATACTGAAATTAGAATTATTTTCTGTATAGTATAACATAGGTAAAGTGACTACATTGCATTCTTTTGGTCTGCTGCTCTTCATATTAATTTACAGACTCTGTAGTATATAACAGATTCTCAATCTTGTTTTTATATTTCCAAATCTCTATACATTCTCTGTTCTGTGTATACTTTTGCATTGCAAACCTGACTCTGACTCAGTTTTAGGTGTTATTAAGAGACGCAGGTGCTTAAAAGAAGAAATAATTACGAAGTTATTATACGTTTCATGTCCGGGTGCTTTATCAGTAACTGCGGAATCATTTTACCTCATCAAAAATATCGATCAAACTAAACCTATAAACACACATGCAGGATATTGTAATGAATGGAGTATAATTAGTCTGTTAGTGGCACAAAATAAACGCTAGGAATGAACGGAAGAGTGTGAGTATAATAAGCCTAGTTTTCCAGAGAAGAATGGCTTTTGAAACTGATTTCTTTTCTGCACGTAACACACTTCCTTCTTGGAGAAATTCACTAGTAGCGTTGAACACGCAGAGAATGAATATTGTTTTACATACTCTGGACATAAAGTAAAGCGCAACATACAGTAAAACTCGGTTATGCGGAAACCATTTGGACCTCAGATTCTGCTTCCTTATAATCAAGAATCGTTATATCCGTATAAATTACATAGTGCAAAGTCTTCATAAAAAATCCTTATCACTGAGATTTCGAATTCCCTACAAGTGAGCTGTTTATGACAGAGATTTACTGTACTTAGTTGTAAACACTAGTCATGTTTTGTTCCAACTTTTCAATCGTGCTACGCCGATATAATTTAAACCTAATAAGACGAAGTGAGCTACATTTGCTCTCTGACTTCTTTATAAATTGTCAATTCATGCTGACAAAGTCACGGAAAACGTACATCCCACCCTCTTCGTAAAGATGACATTCCATTACAAATGTCGTTTATCTAATTATTTTTTCTTTGAATGTATGAAATGTACGAGACTAGTAAAATGATAATATTATTCTCATGACTGTGTAGGTAGTGTTAATAACTATCAAAGCACTATTGGTGAGCGTGAATGCTATCGATTCTCTCCCATCATTGACCTTATTTGAAGTCTGTATACGCAGGACTTTACGGAGATCGATATATCCATTATCTCACAGTGGTAAACATCACGATTTATATGTTTAGTGATACCTGAACTCTTCCTAACGGATCTCTCCTACATAATGCCTAAAGAGGAATCATCCTTTAATTAAATAAAAGGCTGTTTTTAGTCATCGAATCGTCCGATATTGTTTTATGACTCTTTGAATTTTTTTTTTGTAAAATATTTCATAGAATACCATAGAAAATATTTGTATAGAAATCGATTAACAGGCTGGAAGTGTCTTGGATTAAAAGCTTTAGCAGGAGCAAAGAAATTAATATTCAATCCACAGAAAAGATTCTAAACCTCAAAGGCATCTCGTGCTGAATAAAGATTTATCAACCATTATGTGTGTATACAACAATAACCAAACAATTCCTTTCTTGGATATTCTCTTTCTTGCATGGATTTGTTGCCTTCATACGTATATAAACGCCAAACCAGTCTCGCAAAATCAAATATATTTTTTAAAATCTAATATAGGGAACCAGTTTGTTCTACTTCGTGGAAATCTTTAAATCGAAATTGGATTTATTTTCAATTTAGAGAAACTAATGAATTTAATCTCTGCTCTCATTTACACTCATTTTTCACCAATGCATCTGCTAGTTTCTGATTTTTTTTTTTTTTTTTTACACAATATCGTTCAGTTACTTCAATCAATAAAGAACAAGTGGGATGTTAATGAAACATTGACTAATGCTATTGTACCATTCTTTTTTGCAGAGGTGGTAATGAATGGAGAGATAGAGCAAAGCATTATGGATGAGTAGGCAGACGAGAGTTCGTACATCATTACCGGAAGTGTTTCATTATTCATGGATTGTATGCATCGTTTCCGTATCTTTCTGCAAAATTTTCAACATTTTTGTTACTCTGTTAAAATTCTTTCAAATCTTATCAATGCTCTTTAACATCGCATTTTCTTGTGAAATTATCTCTTTGATTAAATTGTAAAGTATTATTGTTATATTTTTGTGAATAAATGTATCTTTTGTATGTTTTGTGCTACAACATTTTATCAGATGAGGGAATCCACAAGATATGATAAAAATACTTGCTTAAGCTTTTCCTCAGGAATATGTCGCTGAAGACATTCATTCATATTGTCTATTACATTCCAGAGAAGAGGTCGGGATTGCTTTGAGACACCACCATCACGATTTCATCTAACAATAAGTTCTTATGCGATTTCTTTTTCTGGTAGTAAGAAGCCAATTTTTTTCATATTAGATTATTCATCATACATTGCTTATTTCTATGTATACCAAGGAGGATGCATTTTTCTCTTATATTGATTCAGCAAAGAAATTTCCCAAAATTTTTCTATACATCATTTTCTAACGCACTAATGTATTGAGAAACTGGACCAATACAGAAGTTCAATTTTTGAATGGAATAATATCGTCTTGACTACAGAAAGTATAGTTATTTGTCAAATTTCTTTGCTGTTTAAAGCACGAAAGAAACCAAGCTCAAATAGAAAAGCCTATTTTGATAATGACCTTAAAAAGTAATGTTTTCGACATAATGCATGTCAATTGCTATCATTTTTATTCTAATAAAGACAACTATAGAAGTGACCAATACAGAAAAAAAGTAAGCCAAAACAAGTGTGAAATCAAAGAAGTCATCAATTTTTATAGAATAAAAAATATTGGAGTAAAGGATTTATAATTTCAGTTATTCCTTAGTCTCTTTCACAAAAGTATCTTCTCCTATGTGTTTCATGTTTCATCCGATTCGATTGCTCGATCAGATTTCTCAGTAACATGTCTCTTACGTAGTTGTCGAACAAATTCTTTACAAAAACTGACTTTCTCTTACTAAAAAAAACAAAATGAAAGCAAATTGAAGATTAATTTTCTAATCCTTGTTGGAAAAAAGATTAACAGCGTATCTGCCAGGGTATTTACTGATGTGATTAAGCGAGCACATCGTTCTGATTTATTAAAGAAAAGTTGTCCTATGCATGTATAAAAACAATGACTGATTAAGGCAAGTCACGACAATGAGAGTTCGATAAAAAAAAAAGTCATCTGCTGTTATCAGTGTCTTGCCAGGCTCTCTGAAACACTTCACGAATTAAGTCTTCACAAAGGCATGGGCGTTCGAAAAATATCGAACAATTCTTGTTTAGATGATTAAAGAAGACACTGAGCACTAAATAAGGCTTAATTTTCCTTCGACCAATTTTTTCAAGCACTTGAGAATGATTGCCCTCTTTAACATGATACACAAGAGCTCAATTTTAAGAAAAAGGCATAGAAAAACATGTTGATAAGTTAAATTCTTGATACAACAAACAATCTTTTGATAATACATGTATAAGAATTCGAATGCTACAGTCAAATTAAATAAAATCGTTGCTGTTAGCGCTTTCAGTCATGTTGGATCTCCAGGCAGTTATAAATGCAATATATTCGAGAAGTGGTGTAAATCAGATGTGGATACTTAAAAACTCCAAGGAACTTTTAGAAAATTTGAAATCACAAAATTTCACCAAAATCAATAACATCGAAATGTACGACTTTTCAACACTTTATACAAGCATTCTCCACGATGAATTAAAGTCCGGGCTTTTTGACATCATAGACAGCTGCTTTTTCAATAAAATAGAACTCGTAAATTTACTTACCTTGTCATTGGGTATTTGCAAAATTATTTTGTTACAAAAACATTCCGATTGTACACACAGGTACTCTGAAGTAGATATTAAAAAAGATGCTTGAGTTTCTGATTGACAATACCTATAAAGTTTTTGGAGATCAGGTCTTCCAACAATCTGTTGGAATTCCCATGGGTATAATTGCATCCCCTTATTAGCAGACTTATTTTTGTTTTACATGAAGCAGAATTTATTCAAAAACTTATACATGAGAAGAAGAAGTCACTTGCTATGGCCTTCTACTCGACATTTAAATATATCGAACGACATATTATCAATTAATAATAGTTACTCCCATTCATATGTTGACTCGGTATATCCCATTGAACTTGAAATAAAAAATACCAGAGAGTCTGACACATCTGTTTCAAAATTGGATATTTTACTAGAAAAAGATGTTAATTCTAACCTAAAAACAAAACTTTATGATAAACGTGATGACTTCACTTTTTCTATCGTTAACTTCTCTTACTTATGTAGTAATATACCTTTATCACCTGCGTATTTGGTTTGTATCTCCTAGTTAATTCAATACGTAAGAGTATGCTCTACGTCCGGACAATTCTAAAACAATGCTAGCTATTTACAAACAAGTTGATGAAACAAGAATATCAATCGTCTCGTTTAAAGTCATCATTTCGCAAGTTCTATGGTCGAATCAATGATCTTGTCAGCAAATACAATCTATCATTAAGTCGAATTTTCATATTAATTGTAAGGCGATTATTTAAACAATGAATTGTCAACAGATTTTTCCGTTTGCGCGATCATAAAATTGAGCACACGGTAGGTGTAACTGGTCGACGAGGGATATTTGCTCCTTCATGGCACCTGGGCCCGCCTCCCGTGTTTTTGGAGGTCCGTGTTTTCTCTGCTCCCGATTTGTGTTGTTTCGGTGGGCTTTTGAGCTTGGTTGCTGTTCGTTATCTCCATATTTCATAGAAAAAAAATCTCGGGAAATCATTAAGAAATACTATCCCCGCGAATAAAATAAGGTTATGATAAGGAAAATAGAATCATAAAACATGTTAGCATCGATTACAAAGAACGCGATATTGCAGCCTCGTGTAAAAGTGCCTTACGAGAGACTATTAAACATCAGCACCTTTGTTACACTGAAATACAGGGGTGACAGTTACATATGTAGCATTTAGATATTAATCGTTGCAACTAACATAACATGAAGTACGTTTTATAATGAAGTATATTAAAAAGGTTAACTGAGAATAGACAAAATAAGACGGTATTCAAAATTCCCTATAAGGTTAAAAGTTGAAGCAGGTTGTTTACTTAGGAGAGTTTGTTTTACCAATTCTCTTATAAAGATAGATAATTTGTTTAGAGAAGATTGCGACTGAAAATGCACTATTTCTTCCAAAGAAAACGTGTGTTAGAGTGAATGTAAAAATTTTGATAAACAGTGTAACCCTTCTCTTTGTAAGAATAGCGGCAAATTAATTAATTAAATTCGCCATCAATATTTGTAAATAAATTTACACTTTTAACAAAAGTTTTTATTGGATGTAGATTTCCAGCTGGAAGATTATGATTACACATTCTAACTCTCTGTATATTTTATACTCGCAGATCGTTTTTAGCCGGGCTCATTGCTCGTAGAGCAATAGCCGGCTTATGTTACGGTGTTTAACCGGAAATGCTGCCTCCTCACCGCCAAATCAAATTTACGAGTAAGAATAGAGTACGTATGCTCAAACGCCTTTGAAGCAATACAAACACTAAATTAAACAAAGTTATATGAAATTCTCTAAACAGAAAAAAAAAAATTAACGGTAATCAGATTTATCCCTAAAAGATAAATACAGTTATTGAGAATGACGCTTATTGCTTTCTATTTTGAAATTACGTATTGCTTACAAAGAGCAACCCGTTTTCCGGAATTATATGGTCCTATCATGACGATTCTATGGTTAATAATACATCAGCATTAATGAGCATGCGCTAGGTCTTTTCAACTCCCCATCTTGTTCAGAGCAGACGAAATCCCCTCCCTTCCCTCCCTTAAATATTATGGTTGGTTTGAGTTTTTAAATTTATTAAATAAATGTTTTTGGTTCCTTTTCTGCTGTTTGCTTTCTTTCAATTTCAGAAATCGTCATGGCTTATATACTGATGAAGAATACTGTGGACTTCGCTGTGAATGTGATAATCCTGACTGTTTTGTGTTAGCGCAATTTTGACAAGTAACCATTTGCTGAGGGATACTGTTGTCTCCAGGTCCCCCAGCTCTGATATGGTTTGTTTAATATTTGTGAATGCTATGCTGCCAAAAGCTTACAAGTGGTAAGATCGGCGCATAGGGCATGAACATGCGAGTGGCATGTTAACTGTGAATGTAATTTGTAATAAAAAGCCATGACAGTTCCGCCAATATGAGTTGTATTATTCTTCCAAATTCTACAAGGTACATTTATGAAGTGTCTTGCATAAGAAAAATTCAAAAGCTGAGGTTATCAACCTTTAATAAAGTGTTCTTATTAGTGTTAGGAATTTCGAAATAATATACTTTCTCCCCTCTTCTCCGATTGATTATTTGTTTAAATTATTACAAAAGGTTTTCATCAGGTCTCCCTGTTTGCGTCACATTCTATAAATAAAGGTTGTGTTACCAGGCTAACACTAATGCAGGGAGCACGTGACCTGATGTATACCTTGATGCAAAACTCCCTGCTGAGGACTCATCTGTGCATGCATAAACGTTTCACCTTGCTGCATCAATGTTTATTACTTCTGTAAGCGGTATAAGACCCCGAAACGATACATATGTGATCAATTGTTTACGCCGTTACATTCTTACTACATTTTATTCAATCTTTTTAAAACATTTTTTATTACTATATGCCATAGAAATATATTTGTTGTGTTGCATATTCTTCCAGTGTCTGAACTTATTTACCTGTTATATTACAATGTATGTTTCATGTAAAACGGTCTTTGTTCACTACTCTGTAAATGAGCCCGGCTCTCTGTACTTCTCAGTACTTTGATTAGAATTATTAAGGTCTTCCGTTTCCAACGGAAGACCTTCTACTGATTCTGATGGTTAAGATTATTTAAGGTCTTCCGTCTTCAGCGGAAGACCTTCTTGTTTTTCCTCGGTTTCTTTTCCACTATTTTTTGTTATTATTATTATTGTTTTTTTTCTTACCGATTTTGTGCACGCGAGTTCTCGGAAACGACTCCCTCGATTTTCATGAAACTTACAGGTCTGATAGAACATTAAAAAATCTAGATGTATATTTTTTGGTTTTGATGACGTCACTTCCGGTTCCGAGCTTTCAGCGATTTAGTGATTTTCGGAGGGTCACTTTGT